TCCTGTCCTACAAACCCAGCCACCAGGGAGAGGGGATCTCCGCTGATGGGGCTCCCGAGGGGCCCAGGTCCTGCTACGTGGGCCTGCACAGGGCTTGCAGAGCCAGTTTCGGGAGGACGAGACTTGGGCTTTTGAGCCACCTTTTGGAGCTAAGTAGGAGTGAGGTGTGACGCCACAGTACTGTCCCAGAACGAAGGGAGGGGGGCGTGGTCTCAGAGCCCGTGGCTGGGGGACCCCTACGGGTCAGAACTCAGGTGGGCATGGTCTGGCCATGGGGGGGGCCTCGCAGGGCCTTGGCCTGCAGGCGGGAGGGGTGCACACCCACGGGCTTCCGGTTCCTGGGTCGCTCCCTGGGGACCCACCCTCTCTGGGCCGTTGGCCCCGCCCTGCCCTGGGTCTGTGCTCTGTGCCTGGAGAGGGAGGGGTGCGGGCCAGGCCATTTCCCAGGGGTGGTGGGGTGGTGGGTGGGCTGACCTTGACCTTCCCGTTGGCCGAGGGGCAGCTCCGAGGGCATCTCGGGGACTCGAGGGTGCCGCCCTGGCGGCATCCAGGACCTCAGGCGGCCCCTGCTGTCCCGTAGGACGTGTTTGAGATGCGGTTTGCCAAGATGCCGGACGAGCCGGCTGAGGTGCCCGCGCTGGCCGCCCCTGCAGCCCCGGCGTCCGGCAAGGGCACCGAGAGCAGCCGCAGCAGCGAGGAGAGCTCCTCGGAGTCGGGCAGCTCGGACTCGGAGGAGGAGCGGGCCACCAGGCTGGCGGAGCTGCAGGAGCAGGTGAGCCCGCCCCGCGCCTCCCCGGCAGCCATCCTGCCCCTGCGGGGGCCGTTGGGCCGAGAGGAGCGAGCGGCACCGAGCACGCTGCCAGGCGCCCGTCAGCCCCGCTGCGTGGCAGTGGCCGGCGCTGCCTCGCTCCAGCCCTGTAGACTGGCTGCGTGGTGCCCCAGGCGCTGTTCCAACTTCTCTGTGCGGGCGTTTGAGCCCCTGCCCGGAGAGTCTTCCTCGCCTGGGCAACAGAACTAGGAAAACCGTCAGCTCCTATCCATTGAGTCCTTGTCCTGCCTTTTGCCTGGGGCCGAGCATGTCACCATCTGACCTTGTCGCTCTCTGAGCTACCTGAGGGCCGGGCAGCTTATCTGCAGTTCACCTGAGGAAGCCAAGGCCGGAGGGCCCGGCGACAGGCCAGCAGCCCCGGGTAGTGGCGGCAGCATGGCTCCCCGAGGCGGGCGTGGCCCAGGTGCTGCTGGCTCACCTCCCCACACAGCTGGGTTCAGCCCCGTGGTTCAGCCCTGGGCAGCCCCGCTCAGCGCACACGCTTTTGCAGCTGAAGGCCGTGCACGAGCAGCTGGCGGCCCTGTCTCAGGCCCCAGTGAACAAGCCAAAGAGGAAGAAGGAGAGGAAGGACAAGGAGAAGAGGAGGAAGGACAAGGACAAGGACAAGGACAGGCACAAGGCCAAGTCCGAGGAGGAGAAGAAGGCCAAGGTGGCCCCGCCCGCCAAGCAGGCCCAGCAGAAGAAGCCCCCCGCCAAGAAGGCCAACAGCACAGCCACGGCCAGCAGGTGCGTCCGTGCGGGGCGAGCGCGGTGTGGGGGCGCCTCGGCCGTGAGTCCTGGTGTCTCGGGGACAGAGCCGCTACGTGGACAGCAGGCTGGGGGTGGGTGGGCCTTTCTCGCCCTCCTCATGGGGAGGCGGGGGAATGACCAGCTCGGAGGGTGATGTGCCTGGGGCTGGCCTGCCTCGGCACTGGAGCGGTCACACCGCCTGGCCTGGGGACCTCGGCGCCTTGAGGCCGAGGGGGTGCTGTGATCTGGGCCCCAGGGTTTAATGCGGGGACACTGGGCTTGGTGACTTGGCTCTCCACTCCCAGCTTGCCTGCCAGGCAGAGGGTCGCCATGGCACGGGTTCAGCTCGTGGCCTGTCTGCCGTGGCCAGGCACTGCTGAGCGATGCCTGCCACAGACTGGCCAGGTTGTGGGGGGCAAGGACAGCAGGAAGGCACTCGGGGCTGGGGTGCCTCCCCCGCGGGGCAGAGGGAAGGCTTCCTGGAGGGGGTGGCAGCTGCTCCAGGAGCAAGCCCGGCAGCGGGGCGGGCAGTGCGTGTGCCCCTCACCGGGTTGGGGCAGCTGGGAGGAGGGTGGGTCGAGGTTGACAGGCTTTCTGGGGTGTTGGCCTTTTATTCAAATGGAGGGGAGCGTGAAGTATTCAGAGGTGGTCAGACCATGGCCTTTTAGTGGGGGCAGGAGTCGGGGAGAGGCCGCCCCAGGGGCTTCTGCAGCCGACAGGGTGGTGTGGCCGAGGCTGGATGGACAGCAGGCTGCTTCAAGGAGCGTTTGGGAGGCAGAAGGGACAGGCCTTGGTTCCCGGCCGTGGGAGGCGAGGGGGGTTGGGCTTGGTGGCTGGGTGGGCAGCGGGGCCGCGGGGATGGGGGTTCGGGTTTTCTCCTGTCTCTTCCTTTGTGGGGGGGAGGGTGCAGAAATCAATTTTTCTTGCGCTGTTTCTGTCTGGTTTGGTGTCGTGATGATGCCGGTCTCAAAGATGAGTTGGGAGCTGTCCCTCCCGTTCCATTTTCCAGGGGGGATCTATAGGATTGATGTTAATTCTTAAATGTTTGGTAGAATCCACTGCAGAAAGCCTAGCGTTTTCACTGCTGGAGCATTTTTCACCATGAAGTGAATTCTTTTGGTAGGTACAGGGCTGTTCAGGTTCTCAGTTTCTCCTCGTGAGGTTTGGGGGTTCGTGCTTTTCAAGACGTCACTCCCTTTCACCTACCTCGTGGCGTTTGCGTGTCTGCCACGTCCCCTCCCCTCTCAGCGTCTGAAGGGCCTGTGGCGATGTGCCCTCCCTTTCATTCCCGAAACTGGTCATCTGTGTCTTTTTCTTGGTGAATCTGGAGATGGGCCAGTTTTCCCGTCGTTCCAAGATCCGGCGTTTGATTTTCTTTCTCTTTTTTCCCTTTTTTTTTTTTTTTCCTGTTTTCACTCTTTTCCTTTTTGGTCTCGTTTTTACTCTTTCCTGTTGTTTGCTTTGGCCTTAGTTTGCTCTCCTGTTTTAGCTGCTTCCGGTAGAAGGTCAGAGGGTTTGTTTACTCGAGACCCTTCCCGACACCAGCGCTCAGCGCCGCACGGATGCACCGACACGCTCGCTGCCTTCGCCGGGGCCCGCAGACCTGGCGCGTCGTGATTTCCTTTAGCCCGGGATACCTTCTGATTTCCCTTTGGCCGTCCCTGCTGATCATGGGTTCTTTGGAAGTGTGTTGTTCCGATTTTCCAACTACTTGGGGATTTTTCCAGATATTTTCCGGTTATCGATGTCTAGTTTAAATCCATTAGGGTCGGAGATCAACACTTGAATTTGTTCAGATGCGTTTTCGGGCCCAGAACAGGGCCCGTCTTGGCGAACGCTCCGAGCGAGCGAGCGGGCGGCAGGTGGACCTGCCTGGGCGGAGCCTCGCCTGTGGGTGGGTCAGGAGAGAAAACCCGCGAAAACCCCCAGACGGAACCGTGGCGGCCGGGTCGATGCGACGGTGACATGGAGTCGTCTGTCTTCTTGCCGATTTGCTTTTTCATTCGTCACTAAGAGAAAATCGTCGGGGTTTCCGGCCACGGTTTTGGGTTTTTCTTGTTTTCCCTCGGGTGCCGTCGGATTTTGCCTCACGTCGTGAAGGTGGTTTTCAGGCGACCCTGATCGTCATGCAGCGTCTCTGTTTCCTGGGCCCGGTCCTTTCCTTTCTCCGAAGTCTGCTTGGTCTGAAGATGACGTCGGTTGCCGCGGGTTCTGTCGGTCAGCGTCTGCGTGCTGTGTCGTTTCCTGCGCTTTTCCGTCTGACTCGGTGTTCTGTCTTCGTATTTGAAGTGGGCTCTGAGTACGCAGCACGTCAGCCGGCTCCCGTTCCGTGCCCAGCCTGGCCGTCTGTTTCAGCTGGCGCGTGAAGCTCATTGTAGTTAACGTGACGTGATCGTGGACATGCTGGGCTTTCGGTTTGCCGGTCCGTTCCGTTCTGCCTCTTCTCTCTGTTTAATGCCTCCGTCTCCTTGTCCGCTTGCTTTGGGATCATTTGACTCTGGAGATCTGTGTTCACCCCGTCGACTTTGAGGTGCCTGTGGGGTGTCGAGAAAGCTGGCCGCTAGTCGTCTCTTGACTGAGGCCCGGAAACCCCCAGCAGCTTGGAGCGGCCTCTGCTCTGACCTCTGGAGCAGGGTTGTCCACGTCCCCGGAGACACACAGGCAGTCGGCCTGGCTTCTCTGCCAAGGGCGCCACTTTGGGCCCGGTCCTGGAGAGGGAGGGGGCCAGACAGAACAGGGACATGCAGGGGACGAG